AATCAATGTATAATAGTAAGAACACCTCATCTGAGAAATTCAGATAGAAAGATGGCCTGAGGGTAGAGTGACCAAAATGTTATAATAAAGACAATAATGATGAGGAAACTGGTCTGAATGAATCAATGTATAATAGTAAGAACACCTCATCTGAGAAATTCAGATAGAAAGAGAAGGCCTGAGGGTAGAGTGACCAAAATGTTATAATAAAGACAATAAAGATGAGGAAACTGGTCTGAATGAATCAATGTATAATAGTAAGAACACCTCATCTGAGAAATTCAGATAGAAAGAAGGCCTGAGGGTAGAGTGACCAAAATGTTATAATAAAGACAACAAAGATGAGGAAACTGGTCTGAATGAATCAATGTATAATAGTAAGAACACCTCATCTGAGAAATTCAGATAGAAAGAAGGCCTGAGGGTAGAGTGACCAAAATGTTATAATAAAGACAATAAAGATGAGGAAACTGGTCTGAATGAATCAATGTATAATAGTAAGAACACCTCATCTGAGAAATTCAGATAGAAAGAAGGCCTGAGGGTAGAGTGACCAAAATGTTATAATAAAGGCAACAAAGATGAGGAAACTGGTCTGAATGAATCAATGTATAATAGTAAGAACACCTCATCTGAGAAATTCAGATAGAAAGAAGGCCTGGGGGTAGAGTGACCAAAATGTTATAATAAAGACAACAAAGATGAGGAAACTGGTCTGAATGAATCAATGTATAATAGTAAGAACACCTCATCTGAGAAATTCAGATAGAAAGAAGGCCTGAGGGTAGAGTGACCAAAATGTTATAATAAAGACAACAAAGATGAGGAAACTGGTCTGAATGAATCAATGTATAATAGTAAGAACACCTCATCTGAGAAATTCAGATAGAAAAAGAAGGCCTGAGGGTAGAGTGACCAAAATGTTATAATAAAGACAACAAAGATGAGGAAACTGGTCTGAATGAATCAATGTATAATAGTAAGAACACCTCATCTGAGAAATTCAGATAGAAAGAAGGCCTGAGGGGTAGAGTGACCAAAATGTTATAATAAAGACAACAAAGATGAGGAAACTGGTCTGAATGAATCAATGTATAATAGTAAGAACACCTCATCTGAGAAATTCAGATAGAAAGTAGGCCTGAGGGTAGAGTGACCAAAAGGTTATAATAAAGACAACAAAGATGAGGAAACTGGTCTGAATGAATTAATGCATAATAGTAAGAACACCTCATCTGAGAAATTCAGATAGAAAGAAGGCCTGAGGGTAGAGTGACCAAAATGTTATAATAAAGACAACAAAGATGAGGAAACTGGTCTGAATGAATCAATGTATAATAGTAAGAACACCTCATCTGAGAAATTCAGATAGAAAGAAGGCCTGAGGGTAGAGTGACCAAAATGTTATAATAAAGGCAACAAAGATGAGGAAACTGGGCTGAATTAATCCTTTTATAATAGTAAATTTTTGGTTTTAGTTTATTCTTTTATATTTTATCTTTTTTAATTATGTTTACACATTACATGGTAAATGAGCCACTGAGAATGTTGGTTCTCTTATGTATCATGTCCCTTCAGGACATTGGCTCACCACAATTCCCTCTCCTTTTTATCTCTTAATAAATTTTGTGTATTTGTTATTTTCCCTAAACCTTATCCACCATCCATTTATTCAAGCTTGGTAGCTATGTTATTCATTGTTTTCCTTTGCCCTTATTGACTTTTTATTTATCCTGTGGGTATCAAATTTTCAAAACCCTCTTTCCTCATTGTTACCCTAAACATTTCATCTCTTCCTGGTGTCAATTATATGTTCCTTTTTGTTTCTAGTTTATCTAAAATTTTGTCATTTCTCACCCCGTATTCTCAGCATCCTTTTGTAGAACCAAATTTCTCTTGGCTCAGTTCTCTTCTCCAACCCTGATGAAATTGTCAAGCATTCATTGCCATGTAGGACCGATATTTACCCGAATGCACCTAAAAATACCCCATTTGGTCTGATCTGGCTTTTGTAAAAGTGCATGGCTGTAAGTGTTAGGTACTTTCTGGCCCCATATGAGAAAACATATGATTCTTCCAGCATCTTTTGCGATGGCAGGAATATATGAGTTCCAACCATTTTCCGAAGATTAACTTCATCAAGGTTTTTGTTTCTGGCATTGAGGAACCTTTAGAGGATGCACTAGACTGATAATGTGTCCATTGAGGTGCTCTGCAGGAGGATCAGCAGGCTAAGTATCCTTCACTCAGTCAAGTCCTGCAATGACCTAGCGTCCAATATAGCAAAGTCATTTATCACCTACCATCTGCAAATTGGATACAAGCTCATGGCAAACCATATAGTTGCTGAAAGAATGCTATCTACAAGGACTTTCAGCAGATTAATCTTTCACAAGAGGATGTTCCAACACTCTGCCAAGACAATTAGGGGGCAAGGAGGCTCTCTTGGGCTCAATGCCTTCATGGCATGAGATTTAGCAGCCGCAGCAAAGTATTCCTTTGGAATGATTTCAACAATCACAAATTTTTATTTAGATTTAGTAAATGAGTTACTAATTCTAAATCAATCCTTTTTATTTACTGTGAAGACACCGAGAAAAGATAATTGTCTCATAAATTATTTTATTTGTAAGATTTTGATTACAATTTATATATTTTGGATATGCCATATTTTTTTATTTTTTTAATTGAATTAACCTCCAGCAAGGCAGTAAAGCCACTAAGGCACAAGGGGTTACTGGGTGTGCAATTATTAGAAAACAGAAACATTACTCTTCTATTATTCTTGCTTCTTAATAATCAGGAAGAGACAGTAGATAACAATTGACATTGTATTTGAATTTTTGAAGATCCAAGTTGACCAGAAAGCATGGAGCTAGAAGAGAGTTCCACAAGCAAGAAGTGTGAGAAAAGAAACTGTTACATAGAACTTATGGTTGCATCTAGTCAATTCAACAGTAAATTGATAAGGCATCATTGCCAATTTAGTACTGTGCTTTAATTCAAAGTTTAAGTACCATAGCAAAAGCTCATCCAAACTATTACCATCAAAATATTTATAGAAAAAGCACAGGAAAGAAAATTTACAGCAGTGGCAAAGTGACTGAAGCTGAGAGGTTGGGTCATGACGAATAATATTGCTGATTCTTCTTTGGATTTTATGTGAAAAAAGAAACTGTTAGCATAGAACTTACGGCTGCATCTAGTCAATTCAACTGTAATTAATGAAACTTTATCGGCATTCCGGTACTGTGTTTAAATTTCTGTAGACTAAGTATCATAGCAAAGAGCTCATCCAAACAATTACCATGAAAGTATTTATAGAAAAGGCACAAGAAAGCAACTTTACAGTGATAGGAAAGTGACTGAAGTTGAGAGATCAGGTCATGATATTCTGATTCTTTGGATTTTATTGAGGATCTTTAAATATATAGTAGGAGCACTGAACCATATGTGGCAGCAATGTTCTAAGCATGGACAAATGGTAGACTTATGTTGGTATTTTAACATGCAGTCATTCACCTATTGTCTATCAATAATTTCTGTCCCTTTTTTTATGCATATGATATTTAAACAAATGAAGCTGTCAACAGATCAACTTAAAATACTAATTTGACTAACTTTCACCTAGTTTCTTTTTGTTACTTTTTACAAACTCTTTATCTAGGCAGTGAATAGAAAAGGCTGTATCAGAAATAAAAGATAAAGACTTGGTTTGGTTTAAACTCACATCACTTAATGCATCATTTTATTTTAGAAATATCCAGGAAGTGTTTTAACAGAGCATGAAAAATTTAACACTGAAATCCGAAGAAGCATTGGGATAGCAGAAGATGCCTTCCAGAAGTTAAGTAAAAACAATAAAAGAACCAGGAAAAAAAATGTGCTATATCAGTCCTACTATATGGCAGTGAATGGTGGACCATCTCATTACATATAGAGAAGAAACTTGAGGCAAGAAAAATATGCTTCTACAGAAGGATGCTGAGAATACCATGGACTGAACATGAGCAATGACAAAGTTTAAGAGAAAATGAAAACAAGTCACTTATACTTAACATCAGAAAGTAGGCATATAATGAGGAAAGAGAACTTGAAAAATTTAACACTCATAGGACACATTAAAGGCAAGATGTGCATAGGAAAGCAGCACATGACCAACCTAATGAGCTTGTGTAAGTGGTTGACAGAAATAGAACTGTGAGGGATAGCAAAGAGACAAAATTTACTAAGGGCTACAAAGGTCATGAAGTTGTCTAAAGCCATGATTTCACATGCCCTGAAAGGATACAGCATATATCAGAAGACCAGTAAAAGGTTAAAAGCAGAAACCTGGAATTAATACAGAATTTTTATATACTTGTCAAGGATTTTGCACAGGATAAATTGCAGAGAATAACAATGAAGTAGTAGGCACCCATTTATATTGTGAGGTAAAGATCATGGTCTGCTTGGTGGTGAGATTGGAGTGACCTATGGGGGTTGTGCAATGCTTAGATACATAGCACCCCTCTCAGTCATAATGACAAGATCCAAAGGAATACAGAGCATTAGATTTGAGGCCAACTTGACTACAGAAATTGCTAGAAAGTTATCAAAGTTGACAGCCAATCATATTTGGGGTTCCAGTCTGGGTTGACTGCAATAGACTTTTCCATATTTGGATATGACCATAAAGTAGCAGAGATTTAAAATCAGGTTTTTCCTTACCCTCGATCAGAGATAGCAAACCTTTATAGTTGCCAAGTCATTTTTGGTACTTGTAAATTTTTCATGAACATATATGGGTTACCTATATACTTACCAATATTTTTTACTGAGAAACTTGTTGCAACATTGTAATTGCTAATTTTTTTTTTATTTTGTTGTTCTGCTTAATATATGCAACATTGGTATCCATACCAAGGCAGTTGCTGGTGATTGATTTTACATAGTTCATGGTGAGCCATATTTCATGATGTCATTTCTCTGACTCCTAGTGGATCACAAAAAAGTTGATGATGGCTCAATTTATGACCTGTGAGTTAGTGGTTTGCTATCTCTATCCTAGGGGATTAGAGTATTGAATTATGAATTGTCACACTTTGTCCATTGATATAGTTTTCAAATTTGATTTAATTAATACGTGATTTTATAGTGGTCAATAATTGCTTAAACCTCTTCATAAATCTGTGAAACCTGATTTAGGTTTGTTTATAATCCAGGAATAAAAGGGGTGACAGGAGAAATTTTTCTCTTGGTTTTCTTTGTTTCCTTTTTTTTAAAAACATTATGGTAAAATGTCTATATCATCATATAATATTTACTTTCTTATCCCCACCAAATTTTAAGACATGCCTCAGAGATATCTGGGTTCAGTTCCAGATCTGTGGTAATGCAAATGAAGCAAGTTACACAAATCATTTGATTTCCAAGTGCATGTAAAAGTTATGTTTACACTATGCTGTAGTTTATTAAGTGTGTAATTGCATTTAGTCTAAAAATAACAATGTGCATACCAAAAATACTTTACTAAAAAATGCTGATCATCATCTGTCGTCAGTGAATCGAGTCGAGTCATAGTCTTTTTTCTGTGGGAGGGTCTTGTCTCTATGTTGAACACAAGAACATTGTATGGTTATAATTTGGCCTAATTTCAATAAAAAAAATATTTAAAAAAAAATGCATTGTGAGAAATACTAAAATATAATACATAGATAAAAACTGAACAAATATTGATTTGTTTGTTACAAGGTTGTTACATACCTTTACTTTGTAAAGGCAAAATACAATTTCTGTGAAGTACAGTAAAACAATAATCTACTCAGCTTTTTATACTTACCTGGATAATTCTTAACAAACCTTTCATGAAATGTATAGAAATTTAACACTTTTTTTTTTCTATATTTAAAAAAAAAAAAGAAATTGTTACTGTCATGATAATATCCTATATATATCTTAATTTGTGATAATTTGGGGTTTACAGGTGGTGATCATCATGGAAATTGGAAGTGGAAAGCCAAGTTCAAGTTTTAGCCTATTTTGTGGCATTCACTTTTACACAAATGTCCTTGGGAAAGGCATGAATCCAGTTATTGGTTGAATAACAGTGTAGATAGGGTCTGCTCACCTCGGATTGCAGTGAATCAAAGAGAAAAACACCTCTGAATTCAAAGTGATATAGAAGGCAGCCAGAAACAATTCTTTACCAATAAGTCATAGCAGTTCATAAATAATAAACAAAAGAAATTTGCCAAGATCTATAATTGCCTATGTCCAGAAGAGATATTCTATTAAGAAAAATCTAAGAAGGTGTATAAAAAAATGTATCATTCAAGCAGAGAGTAACAAGAAAACTAATTTCTCAATATTATCTTTTAATGATGTATATATAGCTACATTGGATGGCTAGGTTAAATCTCGGGTCCTTCATGAAAATGACAAACCAACATGACTTAGAAGCTAACAAACATAAGCAAAGTAATATTTTTTTTTACATTAAAGTTCACCCTGTACAAAGCTTGTAGATAGGTTGCATCCTCAGTTTTGGGCTGTTAAAGTGAGTATTTGTCATTGACACGCAGATAGGTCACACTATATATAATCTTGGGAGTTACATGGCTCTGTTGTAATATAACTAATATTTGTTAAATATTTTCAAATATTCACCTTTATTTTAAAATTTTGCTTACATATATTAAAACATAAAAAAGTGTTTATTTATTTGGATATAGTTAATAAACTTCATCAGGACTAAAAAAACCCAAATTCTTTTTTGTCCTCATCACTGTCAGACATATTTTCATTTGTTAATTTGTTTCTTCATCAGTTATGGTATGTTCATCTCCATCTTTGTTCTCTGTTTTTTTGTGCTTGAACCAACCAAATCCTCATACATAACATCATCTTCAGTACCATCCATGGCATTGGAGATGTCACATTTTTTTGAAAGACTTGATAATTAGTTCCTCAGAGATACTCTCCCAGGTTTCCATTACCGATTCTACTACTAAGCTCAATCCAGGTCTTTGCAATGACCCAACTTTAGTCAATTACTTTTCACCAGATATCATCCAAGATGTCCACAATTTTCAAATATAAGTCTTCATAGGTTTTTTTTTCTATGGAAGCAAAATGGTGTGAAATAAAATTTGTAAAATGCAACAGATAATTGTATTTTTCTGCTTTTATGATTTTTTTCTTTTCTCTTTCTAGGTATCATCTCTTATACTGAATACCTGTTCCTCCTTTGTGTTCTTACCAGTAAGTAGACATTTATTTATTTATTCTCAATGATAAAATTTATTTATTTATACTCATTGTTATAAATTACTAAGGAAACCACTATTTAATAAAGGCAAAGAACTAAGTGCTAAAATTTGAAACTAATTTTTTTTTTTTAAATCAGTATCACCCCATGCAAGGCAGTAAAGCCACTAAGACACAAGGGGTTACATGGTGTGAAAGAATTAGAAACAGAAACATTAATAATGAGCAGGAAGAAGAAAGAGTAATCAGGAAGACAGTAGATAGTGGTTGATATTGCATTTAAATTATTGCAGATTAAAGTTCGTTGGAAAGCATGGAACCGAAAGGGAGTTCCACAAGAAAGGCAGTAAAGCCACTAAGACACAAGGGGTTATAGGGTGTGGAAGAATTAGGAAGAGAAACATTAATAATGAGCAGGAAGAGGAAAGAGTAATCAGGAGGACAGTAGATAGCAATTGACATTGCGTTTAAATTTTTGCAGATTAAAGTTGGCTGGAAAGCATGGACCTCGAAAGGAATTCCATAAGCAAGAAGTGCAAGAAAAGAAACTGTTAGCATAGAATGGTTACAATGACATCTTACTGTTAGTCTAATACTGTGCTTAAATAAAAAAAAACCTAGGTACCATAGCAAAGAGCTCATCTGAACAATTACCATGAACGTATTTATAGAAAAGGCAGAGAGAAAAATCCTTATGGTGTTGGGAAAGTGAAGCCCAGCTGCCAGATTAGGACCAATAATATTGCTTTGGATTTTATCAAGGAGCTCAAGGTAAATAGCAGGGGCACTGAACCATATGTGGCAAGAATATTCTAAGCATGGGTGAATGGTAAACTTATACAAATTTAAGATAAATTCTGGAGAGAAAAAATGTCCTGCATGATAAATTGAACTAACTTTCTTAATAAGTCAATAACATCAATTATACTAAGAAGAGATTCAATCATCTGAAAAAATTATGGTGTGATAATAACTCTTCTGAAAGTGTCATATTCACATTCATATAACAATTTGACCATTCCTTTCTAACGACTGTGGCAGCAAGCTGCAAAATCTGAAAAAATGAAATGTTTGGTATCATGATCATTGCTGCTAGAATACTTTAAAAATAAACTTTTGGTTGACTACCAAAAACAGAAGCCCTCTAGCCCAAAATAGTTATCCTTTATTCTATACAGCTGTAAAAGGCTGTAGAATATAAGTCAAAATATTATATGAGTGGGAATAAAATGAATATGATCCAGAGATTCAATTGTCTGAAAAAATTATGGTAGATATTTATTTGTTTGCATTTTTCTTGTTGATTGTCATAATTATCGTCATTGTTGTAGACTGTTTTCAGATTAAATCGACCCATTTTCCTCATAATGGATGCATTCTAGTGTGTCTGATTAGACCAGCATTAGAATGGGAATATAAGCATCAATTAGAAATGTTGGCTGGTAATCAGACCAGTTGATGATATTTCTACATAGACACTCTGTTTAAACCACAGAAGCGGGACTAATCCAGTAGACACATGCTTTTCTCATGTTGATTTTTTTATATATACACATGAACAAAAAGACTAATGTCTGATCAGTTTCAGTTCTATGTGCATGATTATTGAAGTTAATTACTACAAACTAACATAGGAGAAAAATAACATTTCTGAATTTCTCTGAGTATTTGATCTTTGCTATTATAATCAAAAGATTTCAGCCTGTCATATTCTGTCATTTTCTCCAAATTCTGATCTGAATCTCTTATTGAATCTATTGTTTCATTCCACTCACCATGCAAGGAATATGTTGTATTTGTTGATTAGCATTGAACATGAACGGCTGAACTCTTTCGCCGTCCGCGGCTCAACTCAAACTGATTTCTGTCGGTTGGGGTTTCGCTTTTATTGACGCAGTCAAAACGGGGGTGGGTCTGTCGGCGCCAGGGGTTTCTTCGATAATTCTAAATACGTATCCACCCTTCTTATTTCTGGTTAGGGATTTTCCATTGAACTGTGCCAGACATAGTTTCACCAAACACCACAAATTGCTCCATAACGAAAACATCAACCTGAAAAATCAAGTCATTTTCTTAAATAGCCATGTCAGATTGAGGCTTTCATGTGAATGCCGTGCAAGGCACCAAACCTCTTCAGAAATAAGAGGTATATTCAAAAAGTGTCCTACCTTTATTAAAATCAATTTTATTTAATCAGAACCCCGGGGAATTCACATATTTCTCTCAGATTGTGGAAGAACTAGAAGTTAGACAGTCCCAATTTGGGAGAGTGTGGAGCCTGACAAACAAGTAGTATGTTGTTCTTGATCAGGAAAGCTTAGATTATGTGGATGGAATCAGTGGGCAAATTTTGTCAATGCTCTTCAGATGCATAAATCATACATTAAAATGGAATGCACTGATTCTGTGCTGATTCCCACTTTGTGAGATTGTGGAAGAACTAAAAGTTAAACAGTCCCAATCTAGGAGAGTGTGGAGCCTGTCAAACACATAGTATGTTGCTCTTGGCCAGGAAAGCTTAGAATCAGTGGGCAAATTTTGTCAATGCTCTTCAGATGCATAAATCATACATTAAAATGGAATGCACTGATTCTGTGCTGATTCCCACTTTGTGAGATTGTGGAAGAACTAAAAGTTAAACAGTCCCAATCTAGAAGAGTGTGGAGCCTGTCAAACAAGAAGTATGTTGCTCTTGGCCAGGAAAGCTTAGAATCAGTGGGCAAATTTTGTCAATATTCACATGCATAAATCATACATTAAAATGGAATGCACTGATTCTGTGCTTATTCCCACTTTGTGAGATTGTGGAAGAACTAAAAGTTAAACAGTCCCAATCTAGAAGAGTGTGGAGCCTGTCAAACAAGAAGTATGTTGCTCTTGGCCAGGAAAGCTTAGAATCAGTCAGCAAATTTTGTCAATATTCACATGCATAAATCATACATTAAAATGGAATGCACTGATTCTGTGCTTATTCCCACTTTGTGAGATTGTGGAAGAACTAAAAAGTTAAACAGTCCCAATCTAGGAGAGTGTGGAGCCTGTCAAACAAGAAGTATGTTGCTCTTGGCCAGGAAAGCTTAGAATCAGTGGGCAAATTTTGTCAATATTCACATGCATAAATCATACATTAAAATGGAATGCACTGATTCTGTGCTGATTCCCACTTTAGAGATTGTGGAAGAACTAAAAAGTTAAACAGTCCCAATCTAGGAGAGTGTGGAGCCTGTCAAACAAACAAGTATGTTGCTCTTGGCCAGGAAAGCTTAGAATCAGTCGGCAAATTTTGTCAATATTCACATGCATAAATCATACATTAAAATGGAATGCACTGATTCTGTGCTGATTCCCACTTTGTGAGATTGTGGAAGAACTAAAAGTTAAACAGTCCCAATCTAGGAGAGTGTGGAGCCTGTCAAACAAGAAGTATGTTGCTCTTGGCCAGGAAAGCTTAGAATCAGTGGGCAAATTTTTGTCAATATTCACATGCATAAATCATACATTAAAATGGAATGCACTGATTCTGTGCTGATTCCCACTTTGTGAGATTGTGGAAGAACTAAAAGTTAAACAGTCCCAATCTAGAAGAGTGTGGAGCCTGTCAAACAAGAAGTATGTTGCTCTTGGCCAGGAAAGCTTAGAATCAGTGGGCAAATTTTGTCAATATTCACATGCATAAATCATACATTAAAATGGAATGCACTGATTCTGTGCTTATTCCCACTTTGTGAGATTGTGGAAGAACTAAAAGTTAAACAGTCCCAATCTAGGAAGAGTGTGGAGCCTGTCAAACAAGAAGTATGTTGCTCTTGGCCAGGAAAGCTTAGAATCAGTGGGCAAATTTTGTCAATATTCACATGCATAAATCATACATTAAAATGGAATGCACTGATTCTGTGCTTATTCCCACTTTGTGAGATTGTGGAAGAACTAAAAAGTTAAACAGTCCCAATCTAGGAGAGTGTGGAGCCTGTCAAACAAGAAGTATGTTGCTCTTGGCCAGGAAAGCTTAGAATCAGTGGGCAAATTTTGTCAATATTCACATGCATAAATCATACATTAAAATGGAATGCACTGATTCTGTGCTGATTCCCTTTGTGAGATTGTGGAAGAACTAAAAGTTAAACAGTCCCAATCTAGGAGAGTGTGGAGCCTGTCAAACAAGAAGTATGTTGCTCTTGGCCAGGAAAGCTTAGAATCAGTCGGCAAATTTTGTCAATATTCACATGCATAAATCATACATTAAAATGGAATGCACTGATTCTGTGCTGATTCCCACTTTGTGAGATTGTGGAAGAACTAAAAAGTTAAACAGTCCCAATCTAGAAGAGTGTGGAGCCTGTCAAACAAGAAGTATGTTGCTCTTGGCCAGGAAAGCTTAGAATCAGTGGGCAAATTTTGTCAATATTCACATGCATAAATCATACATTAAAATGGAATGCACTGATTCTGTGCTGATTCCCACTTTGTGAGATTGTGGAAGAACTAAAAGTTAAACAGTCCCAATCTAGAAGAGTGTGGAGCCTGTCAAACAAGAAGTATGTTGCTCTTGGCCAGGAAAGCTTAGAATCAGTGGGCAAATTTTGTCAATATTCACATGCATAAATCATACATTAAAATGGAATGCACTGATTCTGTGCTGATTCCCACTTTGTGAGATTGTGGAAGAACTAAAAGTTAAACAGTCCCAATCTAGAAGAGTGTGGAGCCTGTCAAACAAGAAGTATGTTGCTCTTGGCCAGGAAAGCTTAGAATCAGTGGGCAAATTTTGTCAATATTCACATGCATAAATCATACATTAAAATGGAATGCACTGATTCTGTGCTGATTCCCACTTTGTGAGATTGTGGAAGAACTAAAAGTTAAACAGTCCCAATCTAGGAGAGTGTGGAGCCTGTCAAACAAGAAGTATGTTGCTCTTGGCCAGGAAAGCTTAGAATCAGTGGGCAAATTTTGTCAATATTCACATGCATAAATCATACATTAAAATGGAATGC